CCACTCTTTCATCATCTCCTCAATGAGGTGGTCTCAAAAGTCGCAGTTACAACACACATAGGGCGCACCGCACCAAAGGGGGCACCGCACATTTTGAGGGAAAAAAAAGACGTTTAAGTGCGCCTTATAGTCGTGAAAATACGGTAAACATTTTGTAGAACCTAACTATCTCTCCACCTTGAAAACTGGGTCCTTTTGTTTTCGGCCTGACACATCTCAGAAATTTCAAAACTCAGGTAAGGTTATAACCCTCAAAAACATCATAGTTCCTTAAGGGGCCTTTCAGGAAAATGAATCACCAAAATCTGATGTAAAATACTGCAGAAATCTTGCAGGAAGGACCCAAAAATATGAATCTGAAGCTACACCATGCAGACAGTCTTTCTCCAATTTATTAGCCATGCCATTTAGGTATGCTACAACTGATAAAATGAAACTTTATCTGCCTCAATGTAGTAGCAGACTTCAAATTTTTAAACTGACAGAAGTTGAAGATTCACAAAACAAGCTATATATCTTGAAGCCTACGCCTACACAGGAGATGCTTTCTGACATACCAATAGGAACTTTGGCCTATTATTGATGGCAGAGAGAGGAAAATCAGAACTCCCTAAATGTTTTATTCTTTTAAGTAGAAAGTAGACGCTGCGGTTAGGAGATACTGACAGGCTATTATCAAACCAAAATTAGTATAAGTTTCTGTATCAAATCATACTAGAAATCAAATGTTCTTGCTGGAAAGCCTAACTATTCAGGTATAGGACTTGAATCCTTGTTTTATTGCCTTCTCACTAAAAATGTACTACCAATCAAAGTTTAAACACTTTATTATGTCGTGTTTGTAAGTGATGATTCAGGTACAAGTGCAGCAGAGCATAACAGTTGTGATAACAGAATTTCTGCTGCTAAAAAAGAAGAGAAATGCACCATAAATAGAAAAACAGAATAAATAGAAAGCCACGAATGAAGGTGAAGTCAGGGTGATGGGTAAGGAGGGGAGAAGGAGAAAAAAAAGTGGAGCAACACACCGAGATTAGAGGAAGATCTGACAGCGAGACAGGATGGTAGAGTAAGAAGGCAGTAATACAAGTGAACAGAGAGTCAATAAAAGCTTTTTACATGCCAGAGAAGAAAGGAAAATGTAGAAATGAAAGGCAACAAAATGTCCTCGTCCCAGATATTGGGGTGAAAGGGAGGGTGAGGGGAAATGGGAACGTTTGGTGGGGTTAATCACCCAACGTGTTGGAGGTTGGGGGGATGAGAGGCTTATTGGAGTGACAGAGTTGCTGAGCCAAAACTCTCATCAGGCCTGCTGTCTTGTCCTCCATGTGTCAAAGCATCAGGCTAAAGAAGGCGTCTGTCAAATGGTAACCGCTGAAGGCTGCCTGCTGAAGGGCCAACTTATAACTCCACTTTGACTTCCTTACCCCTCACTTAATATCTATGATAATCACAAGAGCAGTGGGACTGGAAGCTCCCATTTTCCTCTGAGGCCTGCTGGCCTTTCGCCCACCAATCATTATAACATGTGTAAACACAGTAAACCTCTTCTTTTCTCCAGTAATATCATAAGGCACTTGGATGTTTCCCTTGGAAGTAAGTCGCTCCCTTACCCTTGCAGCTACGTCAGGTGATAAACATTCCCTCAAACAGTTAATTCCTTTCTCCAGACTAAGGCAGACCCAAACAGTAAGGCACTAAATCAAATGATCCTGGAAATGTTAGCCAATTAGGCTGCAAAAAAACAAAAAGACAAGTCTCTCTTTGTGGTGATATAATTTTTTTCTCACTTATCTCCAAGTTTAAAAGGGAGTGCTAAACCTTTTTAAGTTTGGTTTTGTTTTTTTAAACCTCTAAATCAAATATTTCCATTTTAGAGCTTTTTAATTTGATAACTTCTTTCATCTGTGGCTCTTGTGAAACTTTTGCGGCTTCATTTGAGTTCAGTGGTGCCAACTTTAATTCAGCAAACAGCATTAAAATAGTACAAAGAAACCCTTTTCATGCCAGATAAGATGTTAGAGTAGAGTAGACACACAACTAACAGCAACAGGCTTTCTGATGAAAAAAAAAAACAAGACAGCGATGAGTAATTTCAGAACTTTTCCAACTTAAATGTGACTTCTAACCTGTAGCGGAAAATAGAAAATAAAATAAATGTGGTTGCATAAATGACTTTGACCTTTTCAATTTATGACAGCACTACATTTTATGAAGCCTTGTCTTGGTAGGAGAGGCTCACTCTTTTTTGCAAACACAAACTCTTTTAGACAGTGAGGGTGTCGCTGGTACAGATTCAGGTTTTTATGAAATTTTGTTTTCAATTTTAATACTTGTTTTTGTTCTTTAACACTTTAAAAAGGAGGTTTCTCATCATCTTTAGTTTTTTTTTTTTTTTTTTTTTTTAACAAAAACCTGTTTCTAGACAACATTAGCTTACATGAAGAGAAATAATCGAATTGAAGGCCCAATCAGATCAAAAATGTTTCATGTCAGATTGAAGATTCTAATCCGATTCGGTCCGATCAGAAAGAAATTTTATACTGAAAGAGAAGGTAGGCTTTTTTCATTCCGATTAGCATTCATGTGTACGCCATTTCACATTAGTGTGATGATTTTTTCACCCTTCATTTCAGAAAGTATCATTCTTAAATCATTTAATCTGATCGAACGCGGGTATACACATATGATCAGATCATTTTATTGAGTTTCTATTTAACTAAGGTTTAGATGGGGTCAGGAAATTTTGCGCATGTAAAGGTTCAAATGACTGGTATAACATATAAATACAGTATATATGGGTATATTTCACCCTGAAGAGACACTTAAATGAAAACTGCAATTAGGAAAGTATTATTCAATTTACTTATACAAGTAACATTATCATATTCTGTTAAAATGTTTCTATGTAAGGAAAACCAGCTGATTGCAAGGACACATTGACTCTCTGCAAACCCTCACACTGAGCATGCATGTAGTGACAGTGGAGAGGAAACCTCCCTTTTAACAGAAAGAAACCTCCAGCAGAATCAGACTCAGTATGCGTGGCCATCTGCTGAGGCTGACTGAAGTTAAAGGAGACAGAAACAGATAAAGACATAAACGAAATAAGTTATTTGGCGCATGGGCCCTGGCAGAAGACTTTGATGCTGTGATCAACATACCATTGTATGAGTAGCTTAGAAAAGGTTAAAGTAGTTTTCCCCCTGGGGCCCAGACACTGGTGGTGGAATGAGCCAGTGGATGAGTGGGAGGAGTGGGGGGGGAGGTGGGTGAAAGTTTGCTTGTGGGCGTGAGAGACAACTTGGGCCAGGAGCTAAATGAAGGGGATTTTGAAAGATGATTGGCTTCACAGGCGGTTCAGGGGAAGCTGATAAGAGTCTTCCAGATTGAATTTTAGCTTAAGCTTCATATGTATATATGAACTATATATAAACTAAATAACACCCTCCTTTGGAGAAAAACTACCCCCCCCCACCCCAAAAAAAAAAATAAAAAAAAAAAATAAATCAATCTGTATTTATTTTAACTATCACCAAGTCAAGGAAAAAACATTTTTAACCCTAAATATTAATTTTCTTTTTTTTTTTTATTCCTGATGTTCTAAGTTAGGGGTGAACTAGCATGGATACCCACATTATGAACCTTTGGCAGATGCCCTAACTGTCTTCTTATAGACAAAAACTATGAATTTCAAATAATTTTGAAAAGGGCCTGTAAGTCCCAACAAACCTGATAAGAAAATTTGCTTGTCTAAACTTTTTGTTAATGTCTTTCACCTTTGCAGTCAGTTAAACTCTCAGCGAAAGGTTTCACAGCAGCCTTTAAAAAAAAAAAAAATCAAACCTCCTGCTTTAACAGATGTAGTCGCACTGGTGATGATTTGACTATTTTAAAGCTTTTGATTAATGGCACCTTGAAACTATCTCTCCTCCCATATCTGATTGAGGCAGCAAAATAAAAGATTTTCTTTCCACATATATTTTGTTAATAATGAAATACTAATACTAAATAATCTCGCCCAGAACTTTTTCATAATTATGGCTTACTTGGTTTTAACTTTGAACATGTTCTGTACCTGCTTATAGGAACAATAGGTACATCCTTGTGTTCCTTAAGTTGTCTCTTGTGCAGCTCAATGTAGGTATTAGATGTAATGTTTGCTCTTTGGTCGGCAAACATGACAAGGAATATTAGCTGCTAGTAATGTGGATAGTAATGTTAACCTATGCATGGATAATTGGAGGGTTAGAAACCCTTCCTGACAAATGCAATCAACCGGAGACAAACTCTAAAAGAGGAATAATCTGATAACTTTTGGAGTAGAATTTTCTAGAAGTTCAAAATGTACTTTAAATACTTTAAAGCTTCCTCCTGGGGAAAAATATTTCCAAGAACATTTCATGGTAAAGCCACTGACTTGAAGCTTAAAATCTAAAACATAAACATCTGCTTGTCTTTAGTCTTTTGAAGTAGGGAATTTACAAAGTGCAGGAAGAGAAGATGTCAAGTCAGTGCAAGTGGATCCAATGAAATCTTCTGGAGACAAATTGGAAGATTTTACACATCAAAACTATCAGTCTATTTCATTTAATGCCGAAGATCTCTGCAACACTTTCATGGCTGTCCAACACAGAGCACACCAGTAGGGGGCACACTTACTTTTTTGCTGCCACACATTAACACCAAACCCAGCAGGATAACCTGATTTGTGGCTCATTATAGTATGTGAGGGTGAGTGTGTGGGAGAGGGCAAAACAGCAGTTAGAGACAAAAAAAAACACCAAATGTTTTCTTCTCACTCACTAACACCAAAATATGATTGGTTCACAGAAACACACACTTACTGTCAACAATTGTGTCATGGTTCATAGGAGGGCTTTTGATGGAAGGCAAAGGAGTCTTGTCGGTAGGTCTTAATGGGAGCTGAGTTATACTGGTGGCCACCGGTGGAAACTCCCCATTGGCTGCAATTGGGAAAAAAAAACAGAGAAAATGAGTAAAGACTGCAGAGTGTGAGTTTGTGTACCAGCAGGGGTCATTCTACAGTTCATGCATCCTCTGGACATACAGGAGTCGTGAGATTCATATAACTGTATACATCTCTCCACCATCTTTCCCCTCGTTATCTAGCAGCAGATGATTGAGGCAAAATTCAGACCGGGGGATTTTCAACAATCCATCAAACCCGTAACGTCACAGCTTTCCCAGGGCTGAGATCATACATTCTAACCCAGAATTAAGGCTTGCAGAGAAAACATTGCCTGTTTGTCCAAAAAGGGGAAAGATCAAAGATCTCCCCATAAAACCCTTGGCCTGCTTCTTAGATTTTGGTAGAGGGTAAAAATGGAGGTTGATCATTTTATTTATTGCAACAACTTAACAGTATTAGATCATCTGCCATCACATCTGCTAAGAGACTATTTCAGCATATTTTTTACTGTTTTTTGACACAAGATCATCTTTGAGGTCAGACACTGGTGTTGAAAGCCTAGTCTAAGCATCTGATCTGATGCATTTCAAAGATATTCATTGTGGTTATCACCAAGGCTCTATAGGCGAGTCGGGTTTATTTTGCCTCTAAGTATGTGCACTTCTACACTGTTATTTTTTTAAATTGCTCTTCATACAGTAAAATAATAACAAGAGTCAAAGGTTTAATTAATCTTCTGAAATATTAATCAGATGAAAACAGAAAAAACATCATGAAGGCTCGATGGATTTCTTCTTAAAATATATAAACAGCCCTTTTTCTAAAAAAGCCCAGAGGAGTCCCCCCCCCCCTTATTTATCTTATTATGCAATTCAAACACAATGATAGGCCCCCCAATTAAAAGATGACTTTCTTCTGGATCTGACTGAGATACGCCTCTGAGGAGACTCTACCCTCCCTTCTAAAGCCATTCTGGTACCACTAGGGATTGATCATGCTGTTAAAGTATTTGTAGTGTCTTTTTCAGGAGTGATAGCATGATGGAGGTTATCACAAGTTGTGATAAAGAAAATAAATGAGCTGAAAGGAGAATCTCTTGATTTATTGCTCCATCTAATTTTCTATGCCCTACATATTGCTCCTACACAGGATCATGACCTGGATAGAAGCAGCTGAAATGAGCTTCCTCTGAATATTGGAATCAGACTGATGGATCAGGCCAGGAGCTCAAAGTAAAGTCTCTACGTCTCTATGTAAGAGTCAGCTGAGAAAAATAGACGCAAAAAGATAGGAGAAAATTCCTATTCAAAGGTCTTACATGCAAGACATTTTGGAATCTGCAACAACTTAAGAAATCTGAAAAGAAATTCATCATGATGAGGAGCAAGATCTTTTTCTTTGGTAGCTGAAGCAAGAACAAGAAAGTCATCTTTGCAACTGAAGCGCTGCTGTGGGTGATGCCGACTGTCGGGCGTTGGATACAGATGTCACCTTTGCTTAATTGAGGTCAAGATGTTAAAAATCCAACTCATGCTCAATTTGCTTTTCCCATGTCTCCTCTGGTACATCACAGTCCCTCTAGTGTGCAGGTTGGTGCTGCCACAACACTTTTCACAACACATTCAGTGCCAGCTCTACAGATATGGTTCAATCCCTGGAAACTGCACTTGTTTTTAACACTTTGCTGAAGTGTCAGTCTCAGAAACTGGGGATTCAAAAAACCCTGTTTAAAATCAATCAAATAAATCAAACCCTGATTAAATCAATCAGACAGATATCCATGGGGCAGTATTAGAAAAAATAGCCCCTGACCGCTGAATAATAATATTAACAGTAAAAGCTGAAAAAGCTCTAATCTGCAAAATTGGACTGCTGCAAATGTCCTTGTATTCAACAAAGCTTGCAAATTCCAGCCAACAATTCATTTTTGAACAATTCATAAAATTATTATTAGTAAGCCGTTTCTGATTGCCCTTTATGCAAAAGCAATCCATGATTACCCTGTAAAGGACGCCATCCCCTAAAGTCTTTGAACAGCGGATCAAATAAAATCTGACTCAGTGTTGCATCACTTTGAGTGACTCTCCAGTGCTTGTTCATTATTTTGTTTAATCATTTCTACCTCGGTACAGAGCAAGGTCTGTTCTCAGAGTTTTCCGTCTTTGCAATACTGGTCCTGTCCTGGCATTTAATCATACTGCCTGGAAGGGTCTTTCCTTCCACAGTTTTAGCTTCAGATTTTCTCTCCCGATCACAGATTCTGCCCAAATTTTCCTGCTGACCAAAATCTATAGTTTCTTTAAGTTTTGTTTATCCATCATAAACTTTTGTTTCTTTGTAAGAATAGGTATTAACGCTTAGTCAGAATAGGTTTTATTGACGGCTACAAACAAGTTGAAATCAAGACAATCCTTTTTTTTCTTTTTCTACACAGTAAATAATGCAGAAAGATATATTTTGATTGTTTCAGCCACATTCAGACTGTCAGAAATATTCAGCCTATAAATGGATATACTGCTGTGCTTGGAGCAAACAAAAACAATAAACTGTAAATGATGCTTAATATTCATATGACCTACATATTAAGGTCTATTCCTACCCTGTATGAGGATTTATCCGTGGAGAGGCCAATTACATGGTTTCTGAAGTAAATTTGCATTTTATAAAAAAAAAAAAAAAGCACAGAGGGTTTGGAGTTGTCTTACACAGCATAACATCAGGCTGGCTGTTCATACTGCAACTCTATGTTACTCCCAATGGAGACGCCCTGTTTGGTGGAAGAGCAAAATAAATACTATTTTGAAATTTATGTTGGGTACTTTTCTTTTTTACACCATAAATATTTCAGGAGTAGCTAGTTGCAGATTTACTTTCTACCTTATAATCTGTGATGAGCAAATGCTACTTCTGAGATGCTGGAAAAGATTTACAGGAGCTCTGCATCAAGCTCAAATCTAAGCATGGGTTTCTTAATTGCGATGAGCCGACGTTTTGCCCACAATGTGTCATTTGCCTCCTTGGTGAGAACAAATCAGGCTTGCTTTTTTTTCCATCTTCCATCATCACACCAGCGTCGGGGGGGAAAACAAGACTTTTCATCTTAATCTCTGTAATCATTTTAGCACAACAGCACTCCCGCACTTCTATCCAGTATCCCCCGTCACCTTAGGCAGAAGTCTACCCATTTGTGACAATATGGCAGGGGGCCTCCCTGAGCAGCAGAAGCTGCAGAAAGCTTCTGTGTGTGTGTGTCAGAGTTGGATGTGGTCAAACCAAACCTGAACAATTTTAAGTACACCAAACTATTCAACTTCAAAACCCAACCGGCTAAAACTTTGGCTCTTTCTCTGGGCAACATTTGACTTTAAAGGGTTGTTCCAAATATAATGCATATTTGAAAGGATTGACTTAGTTCTCTCATGACACTCTCCTCTGGCAAAGAAAAAAAAAAGGGAAATTTAGTATCATCTGTTTGATGAAATCAGCTGTGTTTTTTTTTTTTTTTACAGAATATGGCAGCCAGAAAATCAATATCTCATTCTCTTGCTATGTTATCCACACAAAAAATATGATTGCTTAAGACACTGCTGCACAGGAGCATTGATACAGATAAGAATACCATGCAGCATGTGAGTGATTGCAGTGGCTGTTTGCACAGGGGGAGGACGCCATGCAGACATACATATCCTTCTGTAACTAAGACCCACAGATGTGTTATTTCTTGACAATGGCTTCACCAACTTTTTAAATCTTCAACAGAATTGCTAATAAAGTTGCCTGCGTTGTTATTCTGGACATGGAAACCCAACGCAGCATTGGTATGCAGCTGCAGCAGGAACAAGAGCTTGTTTGGGTCCACCACAGAGCTGCTTGATCCATAGGGCAGGGCATCAGCGGCCCTGACTGTCGCTGTTCATTAGTGTCGTACCATAAGCTACCTGAGGCGCCCTAGCCACCATACCTAAAAAATATCTAAAGTATGAGACAGATCTGCAAGATTTACTCAGTTTATCTTTGTCTAACACTAAATATGAACTGTTAATCAAACAAATAAGGGTAACAAAACAGCAGGAATAACAAATCCATAAACGAGTCCTATGCTTATTATTCTTAAGCTTTTTATCGCTGTCAAAATGAAACCTTTTTATCCAGATATATAGTGTAGTATAAAAACCAACATAAATCTTTGCTAGAGTATACACTGTTGGAATCCATCCAATTACTGAACCCAACTCGAAAAGGGCTGGTTTTGTGGCTTTAGAATAAAATGTTGACTATGAAAGAGATTGCCTCACCTAAACTAAAAACTTCATGGGAAGGTTTGAATATGACTATACTGGATGAAACTGGAAAGGATTAGATGGTCTCTTCAACACTAAACTGATACATTTTAAGAAACATGGGAGCACTTTCTTGATTCATTTCAAAACACACAATAATGCTCCAGATGAATTATGCTAATTCCTTTTATGAAAGTGTTCCATTTCTGTCAGGGATAGGATGTAGTGCATGGACCTACTGTACAGTGAGCTGGGTGAGCTAAATGGGTTTACTTTGTAGGGGTTTGTTTTTTGTAAATTTTTTTATGTCTGTGTTGGATAACAATGTTTATAAAGGAATGAATAACTCTAATACAATGTTTTTTAAATCTCTTTTAATGCTTTTAGGAAAAATGTTTATGCCATCAACAAGTACCCATGAATCTAATATATATATTTCTCTAGATTTTCTCAGCCTTGAGCTTCTTTTCCGAACATACAGCTTTACGATCAATCGGAAGCAGTTCCACGCAAACACTTAGAACCAGTTTATCTGATACATCTGACGAAATTGTTGATATAATTTTTTTTTTAAATAAAGCATTTTAAATGCCACGATAATCATATTTAATGAATTTTAATGCCAACTAAGGTCTTAATTTAAATAATAATAATTAAATGACTTTTAATTATTTTTAATGCCCCGCGGAAACTCTGGATGAAAACTTCTTTGTGTTTACAAGCTGTATGCATAAAAGGAAAAAACTCGATAAAA